CTCTCTCTCTCTCTCTCTCTCTCTCTTCTCTCTCTCTCTTTCTCTCTGTCTTGCATGAAGGCGTAAACGTGAGAATAAGTATAAATATGAGGGTAAGTGTGAGTGTCAGTGTGTCAGGGTTAGTGTAAATGAAATTGTAAGTACAAGTGTGAGTGTATGTGCAATTGTAATTGCTAATGAAAGGGTAAGTGTAAATGTGAGTGTAAGTGTGAATGTAAGTGTGAGTATAAGTGTAAATGGTAGTGTGAGTGAAAGCATGAATTTTGGTGTAAGTTTAAGTGTAGGCGTCGAGTATATGTAAGTGTAAGTGTAAGTGCAAGTTTGAGTGTGTGTTGTGCAAGTGTGAATTTTAGTGTAAGTGGAGGTGTACAGTGTGTGTGTGTGTACTCAAAATCTGTACTCGTCTATTTGTGGTTGCAGGGGTTGATTCACAGCTCCTGGCCCCGCCTCTTCGCTGGTCGCTACTACGTCCACTCTCTCCCTGCTCCATGAGTTTAATCGTATCTCTTCTTAAAGCTGTGTATGGATCCTTCCTCTACTACATCACTCCTCAGCTTGCTCCAATTCCTGACAACTCTATGACTGAAGAAATACCTCCCAACATCCTTATGACTCATCTGAGTTTTCAACCTACTGCTGTGGCCCCTTGTTACTATGTGCCATTTCTGAAGCATTCTGTCCCTATCCACCCTGTAAATTCCTCTCAATATTTCACGTCATTAACATGTCCCGTGCTCCTTCCTTAAGTGAATGTGACCTGACCTGACTAGGTTAGGGCATTGGCTTAAGCCGGTAGGAGATTTGGACCTGCCTCGCATCGGCCAGTAGGTCTGCTGCAGTGTTCCTTCTTTCTTATGTTCTTATATCCCCTCTATCCCTCCTGTCCTCCAGTGACGTCAGGATGATTCCCCTCAACCTCTTCTCGTAGGACATACTTCTTAGCTCTGGGACTAGTCTTGTTGCAAACCTTTACACTTTCTCTAATTTCTTGACGTGCTTGACCAGGTGTGGGTTCCAGACTGGTGCTACAAACTCCAATATGTTCCTGATCTACAGTAGTCTTGAATGACTCCTTTCTCAGGTGTCGAAACGCTATTCTTAGGTTTGCCAGGCGCCGTTATGTTGCAGCAGTTATTTGGTTATTGTGCTCCTCGAGAGACGTGTTCAGTGTGATGCTCACCCCAAGATCCTTTTGCTTGAGAGAGTTTTGCAAACTTTAGATATAAATATCAGTTCTTTAAATCTAAAAACATAGACTTAAAGAACTGAACTAAAGCATGTCAAAGTAAGGCTATTGGTGTTTTTCCCTTTGTTGCATTTTTACTTTGATTTCGATGTCCAGCAGTTTCTCCCTGGAAATCCCTTCGGGGTGCCGTCCCAGAGTCCACAGTGGCTGTGAATTAACAAGTTTATTATAGAATTTGCCCCAAAGGAGCGTATATCTCAGCATTTCACTATCATCTGAAATGCGTAGTAATACTTGTTTTGGGTGAAATCACCCACACATCACGGGATCTATTTGTAATTCCAGTCAAATCTCGCCCCTACCTATTACCTGCGTCTGAAGTAATTAGCCGTGGGTAACTGGACTTACCTGGGTATTGTGACTGACCCAATTTCCCCTAGTTTGTGGTAGGGAAATTGTGACCCCGGTATCATTGTCTTCAGTAGGCTGCTACAGATGCGTAGTTATGTAAACCATACCCCCGGCCGGGATTGAACCCGCGGTCATAGAGTCTCAAAACTCCAGCCCGTCGCGTTAGCCACTAGACCAGCTAGCCACAATAAGATTCATCCAACTAGGTATATTTCTACACCATAGGAAAGTTAGCACAGGCACCTCTGTGACCACAAATGCAAGTTTTTACAGACGAATCTCCAGCTAGCGTGGCCGTGACGAACTCTAGCTCAAGTCCCTTCACTGCCGTCAACATGACTCAAGAAATCGTAATGACACGATTGCAAATAAACCATACCCCCGGCCGGGATTGAACCCGCGGTCATAGAGTCTCAAAACTCCAGCCCGTCGCGTTAGCCACTAGACCGGCTGGAGTTTTGAGACTCTATGACCGCGGGTTCAATCCCGGCCGGGGGTATGGTTTATTTGCAATCGTGTCATTACGATTTCTTGAGTCATGTCAGCGTAGTTATGTCCTCACTTGTTGATAGAGATTCACATGGTCATACGTTACGTGATAGGGTGACATTTTGTCCCTTTGTTCATAACACCTTAATGAATACGGGATTATAAAGGGACTAATACACAGTATTTCAGAGTTTATCGCACAAAGTCAGTATTTTCTTAGTTTTCAGCGGGAGATTTGTGACGTGCTTACGGTTTCATGTCTGAATTCAACCTAGTTGTCGCCCTGCCCAAGCGACCTCAGTCACCCTCCACACAAAAGAACTGCTGAGATCAGCTTTATATCTCTTCCTTACTACACATAGCAACAGTACATAGTATAAGAAGTTAGGTTACTTGTTATCTAGCTATAGACTAGAATTCCTAATAATCCCAACTTGTAGACAAAGTGAGGCGCAGGTTGTCCCTTAATTTTCCTATGGAGAAAAGAGTAATTACTCTGGTTTAACCTCGTTGTATAGTTGATCAGGAACTCGAGCAAGGAGAGGAAGGCGCCTCGTGGCGTTATGGTACATATATGAGGTTCTAATAAAGCTGTTTGCGAGGAAGAAAAAGTCCATTAGCCCATTTCGGGAGGGCTAAGTCCCTCAGTGGGCTGAAGTGGGCTGAGGTGGGCTGAGGTGAGATGAGGTGAGCTGAGGGGGCTGAGGGGGCTGAAGGGGGCTCAGGGGGGCTCAGGGGAGCTCAGAAAGGCTGAGGGCTGAGAGATAACTCCCTCTTTTACTGGAGAATATTCTCCACAGGCTGAGGGAGTGGTAATGATGCTTGTGACCTTTAAGTCCATATCAGGAGTTATCACAACATGCTTCCTGTGCATGTTCTGTGCTCTCTCTCCCTCTCCTTCTCCCTCTTCCATCATCGGCCTCTACTACGCACTTATTAGACCGTAGCTTGTTTACTTCGTTTTGTTTTGGTCTCAGACTTACAAAAAATACGAAGATTTGCTGGAGTGGTGCAGAGAAGAGCTACCAAGCTGCTACCATCACTGGAGAGGGTACAGAGAGAAACTACAAAGCTGGTACCATCACTGGAGAGGGTACATAGAAGAGCTACCAAGCTGGTACCATCACTAGAGAGGGTACAGAGAAGAGCTACCAAGCTGGTACCATCAATGGAAAGGGTACAGAGAAGAGCTACCAAGCTGGTACCATCACTGCAGAGGGTACAGAGAAGTGCTACCAAGCTGGTACCATCAATGGAAAGGGTACAGAGAAGAGCTACCAAGCTGGTACCATCACTGCAGAGGGTACAGAGAAGAGCTACCAAGCTGGTACCATCAATAGAAAGGGTACAGAGAAGAGCTACCAAGCTGGTACCATCACTGCAGAGGGTACAGAGAAGAGCTACCAAGCTGGTACCATCAATGGAAAGGGTACAGAGAAGAGCTACCAAGCTGGTACCATCACTGCCGAGGGTACAGAGAAGAGCTACCAAGCTGGTACCATCACTGGAGAGGGTACACAGAAGAGCTACCAAGCTGGTACCATCAATGGAGAGGGTACAGAGAAGAGCTACCAAGCTGGTACCATCAATGGAGAGGGTACAGAGAAGAGCTACCAAGCTGGTACCATCAATGGAAAGGGTACAGAGAAGAGCTACCAAGCTGGTACCATCACTGCAGAGGGTACAGAGAAGAGCTACCAAGCTGGTACCATCACTGCAGAGGGTACAGAGAAGAGCTACCAAGCTGGTACCATCAATGGAAAGGGTACAGAGAAGAGCTACCAAGCTGGTACCATCACTGGCAGAGGGTACAGAGAAGAGCTACCAAGCTGGTAC